ATATATATATATATATATATATATATATATATATATATATATATATAAACACATTTGCGACTAAAATTGTTAATCATCAATCAATTTTAAGATAAAGGGACGTTGCAAGAATAAGAAAGATTAACAAACTCAGTCACAAGCGTCCCATTATATGTTTTTCCCGTGTTATTTTTTCTTGGCCTCTCTTACTAACATTCTAATAGAAATTTTATCGTTATCTGAAACTATTAATAAAATTAGGTGGTTAATCGCAACGCGTGCTTGGATGATGGGTGCACAAAGAATGTTTCCATGTTGGGATGAGCCAAAATTCCGGGCCAAATTTACTATAACTATAAAGCACAATGCAAAATACACGGCTTTATCTAATATGCCAATATCCACATCAGAGACTATAAATGATACTGCAATCACATCTTTCAATACTACTCCAGCAATACCCACTCACCTCATAGCTATTATACTATGTAAATTGCCTATTTTTAATGAAAACATTATTAACATTAATTGGCGAGGCAGGCAGCAATCGATAAGTGCAGACCAAAGTTTTGCGAGCCGCATTGCTACAATTGTCACGTCTTATTTCGAGACTAAGTGGAAAAAATTGCAGAACTTTTCAAATGTGCAATACGTCGCAATTCCAGGCTTACTAGATGACGGTATGGCAAAGTGGGCGCTCGTATCTTACAGGTAATATATATCATAGAGGTAATATATATATCTTATAGGTAATATATATTATTAAACACAAATATTTTAAAATCACGATTGGAGATGAATCTGTGAAAAGATAAGATTGTTTTTCTTCTTATTAAATAGCTTATACAATTTAATAGTTAAATACATTTAATAGTTAGAGAATATGTACATTTTTACAGAGCTAGATAGACTTCGGTAGAAATTTGTAAGTATCATAAGAGTACATGATACATCATACTTTATACTTATATATACAAATTTAAACTATGTGACAGTTTAATAGTAATAAATTTAAATATTACTTTTATTAAAATGCACTCTATCGTAAAGAGAATTTTTTACGTTCTATACTAGCAGAGCAAAGTTATAATTATCATAAGTCATAACTTAAGTGAACTTAATTTTATCTCATTTGCAGAGCAATACAATATACTTTTGTTTTTAATTTACGATTCCGCAGAAGAAAATATCAATTATAAAACCAGTAGAACTTTGTCAAATCATTCGAGAAGCAGTGCGAAATCTTCTTTATTTTTTTTAAATAAAAATTGCATTTATTTTACAAAATATTTTTATATTTTATTTCTGATATAAACATGTAAAAAAATGATGAATATATTGTATTTATATTTTGATAAATTTTATCTTATATTGCTTTTTGAACAATTTTAACCTATTACTTTCATATATTCACATCCGAAAAGAATTCAACTACTTGCATTTATGTAATTTCCTTTTAATTCTCGGGATATGATGACCGGATTAATGTTGATCTGCACTATTAACCGAAGATCGACGAATTGCTTGGCAATACAGATACATTCATTAGATTGATTTTTGCTGCAAAATACAATACAATATGATTATTATATATTTCAAGCTAAATGAATGTGTCAGAACTTTATTCAAACATATGAATAACTTTGATTCTTTAACGGACATCATCATTATTGCATAACAATGACAAGTAGACGGATTAAGTAAAGAAAACCATACTGTTTCAGAAATTGTATTCATTCTAATAATATTAATATATAAACTATTCTAAATCATAAAAATTTTAATTTCTTTGCCGGTGTATCAAGTGTAAATCTTTTGTGAAAATGTTGCAAAATAGCTTGTATTTATAAAAAATTATTATATTACATGTATACATATTACAGTTCTAAACACCTACAATAGTTAAATATATCGAAAATAGATTTTGCAAAATATCTGTTATAAATTTTATTAGTTAAATGTCTACAGAAATAGAATAGAATCTGTTATCAGAATTATCGGCAGAACGATTGCAGAAGTCAAGTTGAATTTGCCATTTGGTGATCATTTAAATGCTGTGTATATAAAATAAACAGATTCCGTTTGATTCTGCTAGCAAACTGTTAGAATGTTAGAATATTGTCAATATTTTGCTTTTATTGGGTATTTACATCGTATCTTGCCTTGTCTTAAGTTGTTAAACATGCATATAATTTCAGCGTTAAAGTATAGATATTTATTATTTCTAAAGCAAAGTTAGATATGGTGTAACAAATTCGAGATATTTTCAGACGTAGGTAGTAGGTATATCTAACATCGCTTGCAAACATTTCGCTAATAATCATCACGATAGACTCAACAATCAGACCATCAAAAATTAAAAACTAATAAAAGTCATACATAAAAATATGCTCATTATGTCTTTAATGTAATCACAACTATAATCGAAGTATATTTTTCACAAATATATATATATATATATATATATAATTCGAGAACTGATGTTTTATTTTATAAAAATAAATTGACAATATTTTCTCATACATATTGAAGTCAAAAGTTGACCCACCTGATAATAAAGCATTCTGATATGTACTGATTAATAGCAGAATTAATAACATAGCGTGTTGATAACAGAGATTCAACATAACCGCGTTAATTATTAATTGATTTTTAGAGATGAAGATATTATCTATAATAAAGAACTAGATCCTATTGCTCGTAAATTGAAAGTGGAGTCTTTAATAGGGCGTAAAATATCACGTCAATGGTTAAGTACTGTAGTCAGCCCATCAAGTTGGTCTTATATGTGGCTGAACGAAGGTATTGCTACATTTTTCTATGTAACGGATGTTGTTAAGGAGGTAAATTTCTTATGTATCTCTTATGTTATTTTATTATAAAATAAAGTTCTTTTACGTATTAAAATGGCACTAGGAAAGTCTTCAGCAATTTTTCTAAATAATTTCAGTCAAGTGTTGTTTAAAAACATCTTGACACTTTTATTAAAGATATTTGCGGAGGATAACTATGAATAAATTACATATTTTTTAATTCAAAATTAAAAAATAGAAAATAATATCTATTTCTAAGAATAACATGTAATTGATGCTACTTCACGTTGCAAATACGAATAGCTCTTTATTGAATGTTTATAAATTCTTTTATTCTTTCGTTTTGTTTCTAGACGATTGGTTCTGATTACTCGGATTTATTTACAATCCAAACTATGCAAGAATCTCTCCATTTGGACGTCCTATCCATTATGAGTCCTCTTATATCAGAAACTGATCAATTTTCTAATATTAATTCATTCTGCTCTATTCCCTATTACGCAAAAGGTAAGTATTCAAATAATTAAAAATTAGTCAATTAGTACTTTTGAACATATATCTTATAAGAAAAAAAGAAAGAAAATTTCTGTATTTTATTTATACGATAATTCGCTGCGAAATAAAAACATTACACATAAAAATTAACAGCTTAAATTAACGGTTCTTTGCAAAATTACTAGCATTTACAAAATTTTTGAAGACTATATGTGTGTGTGTGTGTGTGTGTGTGTGTGTGTGTGTGTGTGTGTGTGTATTATAACTACTAAATACGACTAAATATTCAATAACATTTTATGACATAAATTGGCGCAGCACCTTCTATAATACGCATGTTGCAACATATACTGGGTGACAAAGTATTTCGGAACGGTATTAATACATATTTCAAAAGACAGTAAGTACATATTTTCTGTTATATTATTTTTCCTTTATTTCTCTTATATTTGAATTTTTTTCAAATATTTACTTCTTCACTTTTATTCCTTGATTCTGGGCTTCCACAGAAATTTTTCTAGGAATTAAGATCAACAATACATTATTAACATTATGATCACTATTATCACTAATATTTCAACACTTATATTTTTCCTCTATTTATAAATGTACAACGTATGAATATTCAAGGTTAAAGTTTCTCAACTGATGTCTTTCCTGTTCCTTTGCATGGATGTATAATTATTTTATTTTAATTTGTATTTTCCAGAAAAGCCAGGGATGGGTAACTGTCCTCTCCTCTGTCCGGTCCTACAGGTGACCATGCTGTTAGGGAGAATTTTTTGTTTTTATAATCTTTCTGAATTAATATTTATTTCTTCTGCCCTTATTTCTTATTATTTTCTGTTCCATAAATCCATAACTCTTATTTAATTTTTATGTTATCTTCTACAGTTGATGTTTCCATTCCATTTCATTTATTAACATTTATTATAAAAAATATCTTTTTACTTGTTTTCCTTTTTCTTTTCTTTATTCTTTACTTTGATATTTTATATCTTTTTAAATTTCTCCTTAACATTTAGAGTCTATCCTTTATCTCATCAAGACCTTTATGATTATTTATCTTATCAGTTCTTTAATTGTTTATTTTCTTTTATTCAGTTTATAGACTTATTTAATAATTATTTTAATAGCTATATATATTTTTTAATAATTAAAACTACTGACCTTTCTCTTTTTATGGTTATTTCTATTGCTCCTGTGAAGTTTAGAAAATATATTTACAATTCACTTGCATAAAAAAATTGACATACAGATGTGAACAATGTATATAAATGAGGCAACAGCTTACACATGTTTATACACGAGCGTGCGCATGTGCATAGACTGTATTTATACAAATACACATACATACTTTGTCATAAAAATAAAATTTTATAAACTTTTGTTAGATTGGCTTCTGTGAATGATTTCTGGGCTGACATGCAAACTGCTTATGAAGAAGAATTGCTTGGTGAAGTATTGCCGAAACTGCCTATTAATATAAAAAAAGTAATGGATCCTTGGATAGAGCAAAAAAGTTTTCCTGTGTTATTTGTACATGTACGAAAGCGATATATCACAAATAATGGAGATTGGATAGTACCGCAGACGAATACAACGCAAGAATATCTCAATTTTATCGATAATTCAACCATTAAGTGGCTTGATCCTGGAAAAAGTAAGCTGAGCATTGATTTAAAATTAAGGGATAATTGGATAATATTCAATATACAACAAACAGGTAAATATTGATTAGTTATTTTTTATTAAAATGTACATGCACGTATATAAATTAAATTATCTTGTCCGTACAAACAATTTGTAACAATTATCTAAATATTCAAATGTGTTGCAACAAAACTATTCCGGTTATAATAGATCAACGCAACCTTTCAAAAAAATAGACACATACGAATAAAAAACAATTTTATATATAATCATGTAATATGATTAATACTCGTAACTTGTCGGCTCACGTAGAGATACATGGAGCGGTTTCGCGCTGCGCACATACTTGGCGCGGACACTACCGTGTTTTTCGATAAAATTAAATATTCAAATGTGTAGTAACAAAACCATTCCGGTTATAATAAAGACTATAAATATAAAGGCTAAAGTAACTTTTTAAAACTAAATACATATGAATATAAAACAATTTATATATAATCTTCATGTAATGATTAATATTATTATCCCGTTGTCACGTAAATTTTAAAGATAGACAGTGTAACATTGAAACTAATATTATTCCATCATTTTGATACAATAATATAATATTACAACTATAATTTAATACAGTAATCTATAATTTGTATTTCTTTTAAGATATTTGCAAATTTGAATAAAACGTATATCTAATGTATAGAAAATACCAAAAGTATTTGAATACCTCTCCTATTGAATTCCATATCAAAATAATTTAATAACAGATAGCATTTCTTTATTATATGATAGGATATTATCGTGTCAATTATAATAATGAGAATTGGCTGAAAATTACACGCTACTTGAACTCTGTGAAGAAATATAAGAAAATTCACGTTCTCAATCGTGCTCAAATCATAGACGACGCGTTTCATCTTATGATAGCGAACCAGCTCAATTCTGACATATTTTGGGATCTTTCGAAATATCTATCCTACGATACAGATTACAGAGCATGGTATCCTATGATTAAAGCTATAGAAGACATGTCATATCTCTTTCCATTTTCCGAACATCAACCGCTTAAGGTAAAATTATGTTTTATTAACAAGAAACTATACATGATTATTGGATTACAAATAACAATAATAACTCTTAGGTAATTTTTTATAAAAGTATACGTTTAATTAAAAAGCATTCAGTTATGCTCTTCCGCAATTTGACTCAAATGCAAAAAAATTAAAGATAAAAGTTTCTTACTTTTTTTTTATGTTTTATTAAATAATATTATCTTTATTTTCTTTATTTTACTATTTATAAGCACAGAAATTAATGTAAATCGATGTAATATTGTATTTGATTTTAAAGTCATAAAGTCTGTAATGTTTTAACTATGCATTAATTTCTTTCAATGCTAATCCATTTTTTAAAATTTCATAACTATTTTACAAAAATATAAAAAGAAAATAACGATAAAAAGACGAAAAGATTACGTTACATTATAGAATTTTTACTAATCAATTGATTTATTTTTTAATTAGGATATATTTTATCTCATGAAAGCTTTGCGCTTACAATTTTTTAAATCTACTTACAATTAGTAAACAGCAATTCAATAATAATAAAAATTATGTAAAAATAAATTTACTAAATTTACAATCACAAGTTTATATTGCCACAATAAAATATATATAATAATCCAAAAAAGAATCAAATATTTTGAGATTACATTGTATTCAGTTTTTTTTAAATAAAAAAAGTTTGAAGAATATGTTAATAATTTCATATGCAACAAACTTCTTATAAGATATTAATCGATAGAAATATTAATCCATTTTCCAATATTTAGGTAATCTTACTGTATCGATTGAACCGACTTATTGGAAGAATAAAGTATGAGGAGGCTTCTGAAGACAATGACCTTACTAAATGTTTAAGGCAAGAAGCCGTAAAATGGGAATGCGTTCTAGGTGACCTTGAGTGCAAGTCAGAAGCCGTCACTAAATTGAAATGGCATCTAGAGAATCCTAAGTAATTTTTCACATAATCTTTATATAACTATATAACTATATTTTTTAATTGTTTCAACGCTTATATAAACTGTTTTATTCAGATGTATACAAGAATAGTCAAACTTACATGATCGATCTTTTTAGAAATAATATACTTTTACCATGGTGGAGAAAATGGACTTATTGTAATGGTTTGGCAGTTGCGGATGATGTTACTCTTTGGTTCTATATGAAGACATTTATAGACGAAAAAGATACTAAAATGTTTGAATTTTTGGCCTGCTCTAATAAACCTATTTTTATCCTGCGTACGTTTATAGTAATGAGATCAAATCCTAATAGATATTCTGTAATCAGTAAAAACTATATTGATCTCTTTCATTATATTGTCATGAGACATGCAAGAAATAATACTGTGCTTGATTATATATTAAACAATTGGGATAAAACAAAACCAAAGTAATAAAACAATTTTTTTTATAAAAACATTAACATTCATGTATTCTGTTCATAATTATGAAAGTTTCTTATATATGCTAACTATATATTATCTATTTTGTCTTTATAGGGAAATTAGTTCAATCACAGCATTAATTAATATTATTAACCACGTGTATTCTAAGGAGCAACTCAACAAGGTAAATTTTATAGCGTCAAGTAACGTATTTCTTTTTTGTAATTCTTCTATTTTTTTAAACTTTTTAAGCTTTTATATTTGTAATTTATCTGATGCATTATAAGTAATTTGATCTAATCATGCAGAGTGTAAAGAATTGTATGAACTATAGTGTAGAGAAAATAACTATAAAAAGTAATCTATACCTATTATATTAAATTTATTTTATTAAATAATTATTTTATTAAATAAATATTTTATTAAATTATTAATAAGTATTATATTAAATTTATTAATATAAGACTAAGAAATAACGTATTGATGATAAATGTCATAATATGTTTCAGATAATGACGTTTGTAAAGAATACAAAGGATATACTATTAACCGTTAGTATAAGTATTTTGAATCAAAATTAATTGACAAAAATAAGGTTTGTATATTGGGTTGTAACAAAAGGTGTAACATTGTTTAACAGTAGGTGGCAATAAAGAATATAAGAAATTTTGGAAGAATCGGAATCATGAATTTGCCGCAAAGATGGCAAATGGAACAAACTGCGCATATGTAGTTAAATAAATATTTATATACAAATGTAATAATTAACTTAAAATTTCACTTAAAAAACGCTACGAACTTTTGTTACAACTTAGTACATAAATCTATAAGTATTACCTCATTAATAACTCATCTACAGGAAAATATATTCAAGCATCAACACTTATTTTGTGTGTTATATATGTATATTATAGATACATACACATATGGCATTTACACATATATACAGAGTGTTCTTGGGTTAAACGGCCAAACTTAAAATATAAGTTTAAGGTCTCAAAACAAAAAATTTTACTCCGGAGATATGCTCGCAAACGCTTCATTAAAAAAATATTGACTTCTAAAGTTACAAACTTCAGTTACAAAAATATTCTAGGGATGTATAATTTCAAAATAATGTAATAGGTTTATCCCCTTTAATGTTAAATAATATTTAAAATAAAAATAATTATGTTTTTTAGTGCTTTATAATAATCAGAATTAACGTATTAAATATTTTGTCCAAAATGATGGTCTCTAGACCGGAGGCAAGCGTTGCACTTATGTGTGAGAGAACGTATGGCTGACTGACGTTGTGCATCTGTTATTTCTTCGCATGAACTATCCTCCATTTTAATGTTTGAAGATTATTAATAGGCATTTCATACACTTTTTTTGCTTGAAAGCACTCCGTACAATACTCGTTCTCTCACCGATAGATGCAACACTTGTCTTCATGTCTGGAAGCTATTATTCTGAACAAAATATTTAATACTTAAATTTTAATTAATATAAAGTAGTAAAGAAAATAATTGTTTTAATTTTGATTAATGTTTAGCAGTAAAAAGGATAAACCCATATTATTTCAAAACTATTGATTCCTAATGCTGCAAATTTAGAACTCAATATTTTTTGAGCGAAGCGTTTGCGCGCATACCTCGAGAGAAAAATTTTTGTTTTTAAGATTCTAAATTCATATTTCAAGTTTGGCTCTGGGGGTTTAACTTATTTTTTTAAATTATTTTTTAAAAATATTATATATTTCAGGTTTAACTCTGGAACATCCTGTATATAAAATTCACGTTTGATGCAACATGATTTCCCATTTTAAAATTAATTACTGTACAAGATTTGTGCGTGTGTAATAATATATTGAAATAATTTTGTAGATACCATTGATAAGAAACAGCTTTGAATCCAGGACACAGAATTGTACAAAGTATGCAAAAATAATTAGAAACAAAATTATTGAATTTCAAACTTGCAATATACGAACCAAGGTAAACTTACGCTTGTCTCAAATCAAGAGACACTCAGAATCTTGTGGAACTGTGTATACATGTAGTTTCTTATAATCAATTTAGCCAATCGCAAATGATAAGAAACTGCAATGCATACAACTATATACTACACTTAGCTGCATTTAAGATTATAAACTAAACGGATAATTTTATTTATTTATTTTTTACCATTTTATTTATAACTTTGTTGGACATTTTTGAATAATGTTATCTATTATTATAATTTAATTATTATTACCTGTCACTGATCTGCTGTAAACGTGTTTTATAGTAATATTAGTAAACCGTAGTTTTAATTAATTTATATATATAGAACAGCTATGAAGTATTCTAATATATACTTCGTAGTCAA